CATTGTTTGAAATAAACATAATTATTTGTGTACGTAAAGAGCGTATAAATGAGCCTTTAGCAGCGTCTAGTGGTGAGGTTGGCAGATCACAACTAGCTGAATCCTCCTCCCTCACCCCTCCCTTTCCAAGCGTGTAGTAGGCCCCACGGTGGCCGTCAGGTTTTCTGCCGTCTTGTGTCCTCGTTTTGTTTTGCTGCTTTGTTTTCTCTTCTCTGACGGTGAGAATTCACTCTCCCTCGCTTTTTCTTGTGCTAAATCATAAATCTGATGGGCTATTTTTCAAAATTTGGGTTCTCAGACTTCTCACAACGCAAAATGATCAGCAGCTCCACCAGCAACCACTGATTCTTCTTCCTTCTACGTCTTCCAACCGGAGCTACAGCGCCACCAAATTCAAGTGTAAAATCGTTAAAGACGCCCTCTAGAGGCAGCGTTTGGTTTGTCCGTTCTGGGCTACTGTAGAAACATGGTGGCACGCCTCTGTTGGAAGAGCAGCTGCTCCCCATGTAAATACGAAGGGCTCATTCTAAGCTAATGAAAATACGATTCGTAGTTACAGGTGATTATACAGTAATGAAAACATGGTTTTGTTTACTATATTCTATTTCTGCTAATAGATCCTCCCAAATCTTACACACTGCACCTTTAATACATGCAGTTCCAATTCAGAGCTTTACAGATTGACACATAGTTGAAACAAGAACACAGAAAAGCCACAAGAATGAAGAGCAAAACCAACATATATGCAGTAGTACAGATATAAACACAGTGTAAAGTAAAGCCCTGATGTGTTTGATGTGATCAGTGGTTGAGCTCAGAGTGAATTGAGACTCTGATCTTCGTGTCCTGGAGCTCAGTTTCTCAGTCCTTCATCATTACTGGTCATAAATCAGAGATGTGAATATGGATGAGGGTCCTGAAGGATGTTTGCAGTGCAGGACCCCCATCCCCTCCCCCTGAATGCCCCCAGTGTCTGTACTGTAGCTGGGTAAGTGCATGCCAGTGGCACCGAGGGCCTGGCACGCTGCCAGCCGCCCCGCGTAACCCTGCGGTGTTGGTTCTGTTTAGCGCTGTTCGCTCTCACTGACTGCAGCATGACTGAACATGCACAGCACTCATATACTGCGCTCTCGCTCTCTCTCTCTCTCTCTCTCTCTCTCTCTCTCTCTCTCTCTCTCTCTTTTTCACTGTCGCTCGCTCTCTGCTCTCGCTCACTGCTCTCTCTCACTCTCTTGCTGTCTCTCGTTCTTTGGCTGTCTCCCTTACCCCTTTTTCTCTGTCCTTGCTTTCTGTCCATCTCTGGCCTGTTCCTTTTTCTCTTGCACTCTTTCTTTACTCCTTGTTTTTCTGTCTTCATGTACTTTTTCTCTTCCCTCCCTGTTTTTCCTCATGCGCTCACTCTTTCACTGCCTCATTTCTTTTTTTCTCTTTCTCTCTTTCTTTGTATTGCACTCTTCAAATGTCTACCTTTCTCTTTATTCTCTCTCTCTCTCTCTCTCTCTCTCTCTCTCTCTCTCTCTCTCTCTCTCTCTCTCTCTCTCTCTCTCTCTCTCTCTGATCCCATGGTGAGTAGTGTCCAGATGGTGAGTTTGGGGGAGGGAGGGGGGACGGAGGGGTGGAGTCTCTGCATTTCTCCTCCTTAACTGGGTCTGTTCTTTCGCTCCCAGCCTTATTCAGCACAGCATCAATATTCATGCTCACGACTGAGGGCTGTAAATCTCTGACCTCACTTCCATTCCATTACAGTCCGCACCGGAATCGGGTCGGTGAATCATGATCTCTCAGATTTAGTCAACAATAGTTTAAAAACTACGCCGAGCATTTTTACATTTAAAACCGCCTGAGAATTTTTTGGCCCAAAATGAGTGCGAACTTAGTGCATTATCGGTAATAATTAATTCTAAGGTTGTAAAATGAATTCCCGCCTTCAGATCGATGTGTTTCTGCTTGTTTTTTATGCCCTAATTGAAAAGCTGCTGCCTTTGCATGACTATACTGTGTGTCACTCTCTCAGGGAAAGAAACCAGCCTGAAGCGCAATACGTAACTGATCTTATTGTATTAACGAATGTGTAATCTCTCCAGGCGTATCCATCGACGTGCGTTCATTCATTTAAACCTGTTCAGGATTAAAGTCCAGACGCCAGTGCTGGGGAACAGGGCGGCTCGTAGATGGAGGATGACCCAGACTGGGAGATATATTTACCCTTGCGTGCGCACTCAGAAATAGCTGACCTGGAAGATGTGTGTGCTGAAATGCTGAGCTGCAGAAGCTCTGCTGTGGAAGGGAACACGCACCACTGATCAGTCAGCAGCTGCCCTGATGGGCCTTCCGTCTGTGGCCCCAAATATCTGTGCTCGAGTCCCTACATGGGGCGCAAATACCTGAACCATTAGACACCCAGAATATCTGCTTTGGTTACTAGAGAGCAAAGGTTCAAAACTGTTCCAAAGGAAAAAAGGAAGACTGAATATCTGTGTTGCTATTTGTGTTAGATTATTTCTACACACTTAATCTGTAGATTAGATTAATAATCTATATATTTTGCCTTCTTCAGTTTCTCGTTCTTTGCCGCCACCACTATTCGAAGCAATTTTTTGTACACTACACTTCCTTTACAGTCTGTCAGAGTGACTATGTGGATCATATGAACATTATAGAGGCTTTTTAAATGAAACAGAAGCCATATCGCCCCCTACACTTCCTGTAGTGTATTACAGTCTGTCAGAGTGACTGTGTGGATCATATGAACATTATAGAGCTTTTTAAATTAAACAGAAGCCATATCGCCCCCTACACTTCCTGTAGTGTATTACAGTCTGTCAGAGTGACTGTGTGAATCATATGAACATTATAGAGCTTTTTAAATGAAACAGTAGAAGCCATATCGCCCCCTACACTTCCTGTAGTGTATTACAGTCTGTCAGAGTGACTGTGTGGATCATATGAACATTATAGAGCTTTTTAAATGAAACAGTAGAAGCCATATTGCCCCCTACACTTCCTGTAGTGTATTACAGTCTCTCAGAATGACTGAGTGGATCATATGAACATTATACACTTTTTTTTGCTAATTAGATCTTTCTACCTTTGTAATAGAGAAGGTAACGGCCAAGTTAGTCAAGTCAGCTTGACTTCATCATCTATTTTGCCAAGTCGTAATTAGTTTGTACCTCATTCTGATGCTTGTGAGTCCTTCAGAGATGTAGTTGGTGATTTGTTTATGCCAGATGTGATTGATTAGACACGATATGTACTGGAACTGCTAAAAAAAACTAACAAATTTATACCCCACCAACTAGCATGATGCTGACTGCGTGCCTAAACCATCACACTCATCTCAAACAGTGTGGAGGTGTTCAGCACTGTCTAATAGACTCGATTATGTGGTGTTTGGACACTATGACGCAGTTATAGCATTAAAAATAGACAGTTTTCAGTTTGTGTAGACAGCAGTATGCCCTGCCGCGCTGGAAATGTTTACGGTTTAGTCTTCTGGTTAATAGAGCCCTCCCTTATGGATACATGAAGCTCGTACAGCATCCACAGATAACGGCACAAACTCAATTAGACCGTATTAAACTCTATATATTACCCGTGAAAGCGCCGTGTCAGCCGGCGTGTCGGTGGCTGAAACATGGCTGCGGGGGCAGAGAGGGCAATCAGTGTAGAGCAGGAGCGATAGTGTTGCTCTGATCTGATTGGTTTTGTGCTCTCCTGCTGAGGAGGCCTTTATCCTCTACCCCAGCGCCACCTTCAAGGTCGCCCCGCAGCCGTGCTTTATAGCCGCTGCTTTATATCTTCTGCCTGAACGGACCGACCGAGGGCCGGCGGTTTATACGAGCCGAACCGCCGTGTGGCATTTTATCACGCTGCCGTCCTAAAACTGAATCAAACAGCCTCCCCACCCCCACCCACCAGCTGGAGAATATCATCCACGGTGGAGGTCACCTTCACTCTCCGGGTGTCTTATGATCTATAATGACGCCATCTCTGACGATCAGTTATAACTTGGAGATAAGCAGACAGTCAGAGCCTAGTTTATCAATAAGGTTTACATTTTGCTGTCGAATTACATTCAAGCAAAATAAAAGAACAAAGATGATAAAGTGGTCACTTTTATTAAAAATAAAGAACTTTGCACGCCGGAACTTCATGTAGCTGTTCGGGTCAATTTTATGGCTGTATTTTACATCATAAGAGCATGAAGATTGAACACGTTGGCCGACAACGGCTCAAGGAATCAGCCTCAGGCATCTGATGTCTATTTACTGTTTACCTAAGTTAAAATAGTTTTTCTTTCGCAAGATTTCAGTTCTCCAGTACATGCCGCCCTTTTATCATGTTTTATATTCACTGCCGGGCAGAAACGCAAATGCCTGATCAGTCATAATTCTGTAATTTTATTTATTGAGTCAGCAAATGTGTTTCCGTTAATTTATTATTTGTTTTTGTCAGCAAAACAGTTGATCCACCTCAAGCCTGCATACGAGCTTTTGGTGTTTTTCATATTGTGAAATTGAATAAAGACGTGTGTGGAAATCTAGCTAGTGAGCAGTGACTGGCTGTTCAGGTCAGTGGGGCAGGAGGAGATTACGTCTGTACTGATGTGGGGCAAAAATGCTTTTTTACTTTTTATGTAAATTAATATTTAGAGCTGTTGTTCAAAGCAGTTCTGCAGTATATCTGTTGGTCCATTCATCGTGAGCTTCACTCAGTGTAAAGGGCAGCTGCTGTGTTCAAATGATGTAGAAGAATTAAAATACAGACATGTTTGTTTTTTCTGTTGTTTTTTGACAGCGGTGATGTGTGAACCTGGTGCAAGATTGGCTGTTGGACACAAATTAAGCCCTAAATGGCTTCTATGGTTTTGAAATGTCTGTCAGTCATTTTTCTTCTGTACAATTACACTGAGTGCTGTTTGAATGAGGCAGCCAATCAGAACAGAGCTCATTTACATATCAGCCCCTAACATTTTTTGTTTTTTTCCTTTTCCCTAGTTGGGATCCCGACGATTAAATGGTGCGGCGCTGAGGGCGACTACAACGTGATGGTGATGGAGCTCCTGGGTCCGAGTCTGGAGGACCTCTTCAACTTCTGTTCCCGCAAATTCAGCCTGAAGACTGTTCTGCTGCTGGCTGACCAGATGGTAAGGCTGCAGCGCGCTCACCCGCGTCCACTCCTGTCGCAGAGCGCTCCGCTTAATTACAGAGGGCTTCTGCAGCGCAGTGACGGTTAAAGGGACCGGTCTTCACCTCCAGGATCAGATTTAATCCTGCTGTTTTACATCAGCGCTGTAGTTCCTCCTCCACCGGCTGACAGATAGAGCTTTGACGGCCCGAGGCCTTTTCAGTTATGAAAGGACGTATTATTCTGGTTAAGTCATTGCATCATCACCTTGTTTGCATTGTTGGGTTTCATCATGGCAACACATTCTCTCGCTGTTGGCACGATGGCTCCCTCGCTAACCTGGTCGTTGTTCACTGTTTAGTTTTACTGTGTAGTGAACTGACCGGAGAATAGGTGATGATGATTTAATGTCGAGAGCACTACACCTTAGCTGAGACGTCACGTACAGCCTATAGACTCAGTCTTTCTCTTTTCTTTCCCTTTTCTCTCGTTCTCTTGCTCTTTTTTCTCGTTCGCTCTTTCTGTTTCTTGCTGGCTAACTGTCTCGCTCTTGCTTGCTCACTCTTTCTCTTTCTTGCTTTTGCTCTCTCTCTCTCTCACCCCCCCATATATTCTCTTTTCTGTCCCTCTCTTTTGCTCTTTTCTTTCTCCCTCTCAATTCTTTCTCGTTTGCCTTCCCTCTCTCCTGCCCTCTTTGTGTCTTCTCTCTTTCTTTATTTCTATTTTGGCCTCTTGGACTCTTCATCCTCGCTCACTCTCTTGCTTGCTTGTCATGTTTTCTCTTTCTCTCTCTCTCTCTATCTCTCTCCATATTCTCTTTTCTGTCCCACTCTTTTGCTCTTTTTCTTTTTCACTCTCGCTCTCCTTTCTTTTTCATTTGCTTCCTCTCTCTCCTGCCCTCTTTCTCTTTTCTATCTCTTGATATTTCTCCATCTCACTCTATTTTGGTCTCTTGGACTCTCTTCATCCTTGCTCACTCTCTTGCCTGCTTGTTATGTTTTCTCTCTCTCCTCTATATTCTCTTTTCTGTCCCTCTCTTTTGCTCTTTTCTTTCTCACTCTTGCTCTCCTTTCTTTCTCATTTCCCCTCTTTCTCTTTTCTCTCTCGATATTTCTCCATCTCACTCAATGTCGGTCTCTTGCTGTCTTTTCTTCTTTTCCACTCTCTTGCTTGCTGTCATATTTTCTCTCTCTCTTCTTGCTCTTACTTGTTCATGCTTTCTCTTTCTCTCTGTCTCACTTCCAGACTCTTTTCTCTCTCGCCTCTCCTGCTCAACCTGTCCTCTGTTTCGCCCTCAGATCAGCCGTATCGAGTACATCCACTCCAAGAACTTCATCCACAGAGACGTGAAGCCCGATAACTTCCTGATGGGCCTGGGGAAGAAGGGCAACCTTGTTTACATTATCGACTTCGGCCTGGCCAAGAAATACAGAGACGCCCGCACACACCAGCACATCCCCTACCGCGAGAACAAGAACCTGACCGGCACTGCTCGCTACGCCTCCATCAACACGCACCTCGGCATCGGTACACCCCCCTTTTCACTTCACGCATACATATTCACTTGTACATGCTAGTTTTTTGGCTTTATAATGTGGTTTTAATTGAATATAATTACTTTAAAGTATGGCTGCACAATATATCAATTGTTAGTCATTACAGTATCGCCCTTCGCAAATACTAATATCATTGAGGGTCAGTGTATGTTTTAATTTGGTGAAGTGCAGACCAACATACTGAAAGACTCAATACGAATGCAGTGTAATTGCATGTGATGTTTAGTTCTATGCCATGCATCCCCATTCAAAGCTAGTTTGCAGCCTGAAACGAGTCTAATTATCTGTGTCATGTAAACCGTGGATGAGATTTCTTGACGTTTTCCCCGTTGTTGTCTTCCTTTCTACAGAGCAGTCCAGAAGAGATGATTTGGAGTCTCTTGGCTACGTGCTCATGTACTTCAACCTGGGCTCTCTGCCCTGGCAGGGCCTGAAAGCCGCCACCAAGAGGCAAAAATACGAACGCATCAGCGAGAAGAAAATGTCCACCCCCATCGAAGTTCTCTGCAAAGGATACCCATGTAGGTTAAGTTTTCTGTTAGGGTGGCCGATAGTCCGTATTTAATTGCATGGCTCATTTAAGAGATGTAGGACTAAAGTGGCATAATAGTCTGAGGTTCTGTGCAGTTGTGGATTTAAAATCATGATGACGCCTGAAGTTAAAGGGTAGCATGAATAGTTCTTTTTGATTGGATATAATAAACCAATGAGTAAAGAAAATCTTATTTTTTTAAATGTGGCACTGCTGGTGCGTCTGTTCCTATTTATCAAGAGAAATTTATCTCAGGGAAAGGAAATATCGTGAGGCGCATCGTGTTGTATTTTTGCTGTATTTCCCATCATTCTTTTAGCTATTCTCATGTGATTCGACACATTTATGAGAAATAACTTGTGCTGTTCCTCGTCTTTCTCAGCCGAATTTGCCACATACCTCAACTTCTGCCGCTCCTTACGCTTTGACGACAAACCGGACTACTCGTATCTGAGACAGCTCTTCAGGAACCTCTTCCACAGACAGGGATTCTCCTACGACTACGTGTTTGACTGGAACATGTTGAAATTCGTGAGTATGAACAAGAGAAGAGCAGGTGTCTCATGGGTGTCCCGTTCCGTCCTGGAGGGTTACACTGGTTTCCTGTACACATCTGCTGATCCATGATAGCTCCTGATATCGAATCGTCTCCTAAAGAATCAAAAATTTACACCTTCTCTCCTTATGGTTTGGTGAGGTTGGGTAGAGCTGGTCGTTTTGTGTCTGTGTCACTGACGTTCTGGTATGTGCTCTGGTGTTCAGGGAGCAAACAGAGCGGCTGAAGATGCTGAGAGGGAGCGCAGAGACCGAGAGGACAGACTGAGGCACGGCAGGAATCCAGCCGCCAGGGGCATGCCATCGGCCTCCAGCAGACCCAGAGGAACGCAGGAAGTAGCACCGCCCACACCCCTCACCCCAACCTCACACACAGGTGAGTGCACAGAGGAGGCCTTGGCTGTGTCTCAAACTGACTATATAGCCCTGTCCACTGCGTGCTTTGTTCTTTTGTGCCTGGAATGGTCCTGTTGACTTTGTCAAGGGTCACCAGTCTTACCCAGAATGGGCTGGTGTGGCTACACATTTTCCCGATTCTACTTGTTGATTTGTTTGTACTCGTGTATGAAATGAAAACCTGCAGTCACACCTCATAACATTGGTGTCCTCTGCACTATAAAGTGCACTAAATTGGACTCACTATATATAATGCACTGTTTTGGACTCGGTGTGCCCAGTTTGGTATACAGTGTACTATTCTGGGCTGTCTGATACCCTGTTTGCTATATAGTATGCTAATTTGGACTGTATCCCAAATGATCCCCTATTCGATGTACAGTGCTCTGTTATGGACTGGGTTTGAAACTGTGCCCAATTCACTACATAGCGCTGTTTTGGGCTGTGTCCCATATAATGCCATTTTCCTAGATAGTGCATTAATTTTTTTTAACTTGATAATTTTTGTATTAAACTATGCCCTATTTACTATATAGTGGACTGTTTTGGACTATTTACAGGGTTTGGCAACATGGGCTCCACAACAGAACTGGATGATTAGGCAACAATAAAATAGTCAGTAAAATAAAGCTCTGCTTTTCATTCTGACACAGTTTATTAATAGATGGTCTTAAAAGCTGGAGTTTATATAGCGTATACATGCTAATTCGCCAGCCTTCGTTTTAACATGCAGCTGGTCACCATAGTAACAACTTGACAGTCAATCCAGATGGTTTCCTGATATGTTTAATCTGCAACAAGAAACTGTCAAACACTAAAGTCTCGAAGCTGAAGTCAGTTTCTCGTTCGAATTGTCCCACTCCACCTTAAATGGTGCTGCAGTTACATTCTGACATCTCAGGCACCATGTAAGGTGGAGTGGGACAGTTTGAGCAAGGAGCTGGCGAATGAGAAGCGACTTCAGCCTCGTAAAAAAATCAAACATGGAGAAGCGTTTTACAAGAAACTTCTACTTTTGTGGAAAAGTTTCCTGTCAGAGATGCGAGAAAAGCTATAACTGAGCTAAAGCTTAAAGCAGAGCAAAGTAAGTCTGTGTTTTTGTTTATATTTTTTAGTCTATACTAACACATCAGCACATACTGAGACATATTTACCATCTTGGCTGTAAATTGGACATAAAATGTGGCTTCCAATGTGGTTTGATTTTTGCTGAAAACACAAAAAAGGCTCTTAACTTTTGGGTTGACGACCCCAGCCTTATTATATAGTGCACAGTTGTGGACAGTGTCCAACAGTGAGCGCTGTTCACTATGTAGTGCACTATTTCAGAAATTATTTCATAGTCATTTCAAGACATGGTTAAAAAAAAATCCAGTTCACTCTTAAAATCCTGTAATGCTCCAAGGTGTACACGCTGTACCCTGACAGCCCTGGAATCCCCATAATGCCCTGTGTGGAACCTCTTTCACTGTGTAAAGTTAGTGTATGGTTTAGAACAGTTTCTGTTCCTGGTTGAGGTGTTCTGTGTAGTGTTATCAGTTTTCCAGTGTAGATGATGGCGATAAGGCACATGACTTCTTTAGTAGTGTTGTGTTGGCGCTAGTACTGAGTCCTTGATTTGGAGAGTGCGTCCTGTCTGTCTTCACCTGTCTTGGCTGATCGGTTTTATTTCCTGTTTGTGTTCTTCAGTAGCAGCGTCTAGCAGCAGGTTTTCTTTTTTGAGTTTGTTTGTGTTCTCAGCTGAGGGGAAGTGGTAAAGCACTTGCACACGTTCCCTCTAGAAAGGAAATCACATGACGTCAAGTGTTGTGTTCAGAAAAGAACTGATGTTTCCACATTTGTCAGGTGATATTGTGACTGGGGCTCTGATGTGGAACCAGCCTTTTAATGAGCTCCTTTAGCTGGAGTGTGTTGTGTTTGGCTGGTATTTAAATATTATATGGGCAGAGGTAGAGCAGCCTGAACCCATACCTGGGTAAAATTTAATTTTTGGGCTAAAATAATGACCAAAATATAAGTACCATCCAAAAAAAAAAATGAGTAGAAGTACCAAAGTATCGGGTCAGAAAAGCTACTAAAGATACTGAGTAACTTGCAGTGGAACTTCTTAATACATCCATCATCTTTTAGCAAGAACTGAAGATTGTGCATCTCTATTCTTGGTTTAAAATAAAATGCTAAACCTCAAGTCTGATATGGGATGAATATGATTGTCTAAGTAAAAGGAGATTCCTTTACTTACTAATCTAGAAGTATTACAATTAGTATCAACATTTTACTGAGGTACATGTTCTAGAGTAAGTGTAACTAGTTACTACTGGGGGTGATTAAATTGGCGTCCTGCAAACAACAATGGACAAAAGTATAAACAAAAAATTCAGGCTTTACGGAGGCTGCGGACACTTCAGAACAAAATGACGTTATTTAGTCCGTGTTTATAGATCACAGTGTGAGAAACCACATTAACAAGTTTGCTAGAGGTTACTTAACAGCTCCACACACTTTGAGGAGTGTGAAGTTAGGCATGCAGTTATGCACGATGCTGGTTGGTGGGGTATAAGACTCCATTAATCAGTAGTTACATTAGCCTCGTTGGCCCAGTGCAAAGCTAAAGAAGCAAACTGTACGTGTGGCGTTTACGTTTGGGGTGATCTGCGGTGAACTTTTAAAAAATTAGAGAGAGTGTTCAGGTTGAAACTCGCTTGACAGTCTGGCCACATGCTGCAGTGGTTTGAGGAGCCATTGGTAGATCAGTTAGAGATGGTTTGATCAAAGTTGATGTGAAATCGACTTTAATTGTAAAGAAACATTCAGTTTCCTCACTAAAATGAATGGTTGGAAATTAGACGGTAACTATTGTTCCATAGTCCTAAACTCGGGCCAGTTTAGCAAAGCGGGGCTGCTGTTAAGCCGGGGTTACACTACACGACTTTAACCCTGATTTTAGCCCTGATTCTCAGTCTGGCCAAGTCGGTGGCTGTCGGCTCTAGTCTGCAGATTTCTGGTTGAGTCAGAGCCGACAGTTGGAGAGAGTCGTGTGTGAGGGGTGCAGACTCAGATTTACTGCCTCCTGATCGCATTTTGACCTCACTCTGACCGTAAACTAGTGTAAATAGGTTTACAGCCCAATTTGAACAGACTCCTGCAACAGCCAGTGAAAACTGAGAGCACGAAAGAAGAAAATGCAAGTAAACAAAGAAAAATGGAGAAAAGTCTCTCACATGTGGAGCGAAGCTTTTTAGTGAACTGAGTTTAAGGCACAATGGAGTTTATGTACATTTAAAACTCTAATAATACCAGCTGATCACATTTTTAAGTCCATGAGCCTCAAATACACTTTTACCTGCTGCTTCTTCACTGTATCAGTGCAAACAGCAGGGAAAACAGCAGCAGCAGCTCCACGTTTGTTTATTTGGGTCTCCAAGTAACAGGAAAACGCAAGAGTTCTGTGGGTTCCATTCGGTTCAGCAGCAGATTAAAAGTTGTAGTGTCTGATCCCTGATTGTTTAGTGTGGGTCCCCAGTATTTGTCACCCAAAAAAATCTGTGAGACGTCCAGTCTGTTATTATCTGCTCAGACTTTACAAGTCATGTAGTGAACCCAAGGTTTTAGCCAGATAACTTAAACCCAAAGTCAAGCCTGTCCTGTAGAGGAGGTGGCCAGCTATTGGCCGGCTGTCAATTTAAGCTCTAGTTATCCAGCTTACTGAGGAAACCCTGCCTTAGAAAACACCCTGCCGATGTCTGTGCACAGCTCCACACTAATGCTGATGTGTTTCTGTCGTTTGTGTGTCAGGAATGGAGCGCGAGAGGAAGGTCAGTATGAGATTACATCGCGGAGCTCCAGTTAACATCTCCTCATCTGACCTGACCGGCCGACAGGACACTTCACGGATGTCCACATCACAGGTAAAAGCCCTGATCTGAAGCTTTTTTGGTAGAAAGCATTGAGATCATTCATATCCTCGTTGTTGTTCTGTAGCTGGAGTATTTTTGCCCACTGGCTGGCTATCTGTGGCAACAGTGCTGGTCTCTGAGCTTGGTGCTCGTCCATGGCTCCCTGTGATCGGATGGAAATCAGAAAATTGAGTCTTTTTATTCAAGTATGAAGGGCAAACTCTAGGGAGCCTCAAGGGAGCCATTCGGGTGCACCATACGTCTGCTGTGGCTGGCGTGGAAATGCTGGTGCTGCCTCCAGGCTTTCAAAGCTGCTAGCATGCAAAGTTGGTGGGTTCAGATCCTCATAAATGGTTTTAAATGTTTAGTCTACAGAAAGTGCTACTGAGTCACAAAAGCCTTTGTTTATGCAAATTTAAAAAAAAAAAAATCCTAAGATGTGAATAATAGTGGGGTAAATATATCTTCATCTCGTCTGTGCTCATTCTTAGTTTATTAAACATCTGACTTGGCTTTGTGCACGGCTTAGTTAGTGTTTTCATGGGATATGTATTGTGTAATCACTGGCATAAGTAGGTGTATTATAATATGCACAGTTTTTGCAGGATTTCGCATTCCTGCAGAGAAACCGGAGATGATACTGTTGTGTAAATATCTTTTGTGAACTTTCGTGCTAAATATAGTTTCAAAATAAACTCAGAAATCAGAATCATGTTTATTTCAGCCAGGACGTTACACATACAGGGAGTTTCGTTTTGGTAAATGCAGACATATAATATGACATTAACAAAGAGTGAAAAAATAATAACTGAAAAAGAAGCTTCATATGAAACAAAATCTCCAAAATGTTACATTTTAATGTACATTAATATGGTGGGATTTTAGTTCAACTTATTATGGACCGTTCCTGTTGGTCCATTATTACATTAACGGTGTGAAGGGCAGCTAGTATTTTCAAAAATAAAGGTATTTAAGGAGATGCAAGGAATGATGGGCACACATACAGTGTTGTTAATTTCAGTTCACCGATTGATACATTTAGTACTTTTACAATACTCATTAAGGTACTTCAGTACTATTGAGTGTAAAATAATTGTCATTCAGTACCAAATTTCAGTCGTTGATCTCATCGAATGTGAGCAAACGCTTTTTCCAGAATCTGCTGCTGATTTTCCATCTAAATTACATTATACGCTTGTTGTTTGTCAGTGCTGCTTTTTTAGTGTGCCGATCGTTAAATATAGCTATGTATATCTCCTTTACAGCAGCGCTCACACGTTTCTGGTTTAAGCCACACCAGCTTTGGGTTTAAAATGTAATTGTAATTTAATTGTCATTTATATTTAATGTAAAGTCTACATTAAAACAAGATGTTGGCGGGAAAAAGTAGTGTTCAGGACTGGGTTGCACCAGTTTTTTCTTTGAGATCGAAACTAATAACTTGTTTTGCTAGCATACATGCTAAAAACATAAAAAATCGGCTACATAGCTACCAAATAAACATTACTCAGTGCTGCCCTTAATGTGTTGGAGTGCCAGGTGAGATGTTAGAGCTTTATTTATTTATTTGTTTATTAATTTTTTTTTAACAATGAGTCCAGTAGGGTTGGAAGATTAATCATTTTTATATCGAATTGCACTTTTAAAGAGCAGTTATCAAATCACAAACTGCAGTTTTAATCATATCCTACGTTATCATAATCACAGTTACAAGTGTTAAGTGGAGAAACAGCCTAATAACAGAGCTTGTGAAGTGACTTTCTGGCAAACTACATTAAGTTCAAGACTGGAGCCCGAACAAATGAATGGGCTGCGGTTCTTGAAAAAAGGCCTGGAGCTTAATTTAAAGAAACATAACTGCATTTAAATCACAATATTGAGCAGAAGAGTCAGAATTAGATCTTTTCCACAAATTGTTCAGCCCTAAAGTCTAGTGATGTGTTTTTGTAAATGTATCTCATCACATTTATTTGTCACATCGCAGTTAGACAGGTGTGAAGGTGAGTAAAAATCTTAGGTGTGTAGTTCCTTTATAGAACTTAAATACAAGAAAATAAGAAAAAAGAAAAATAAATATACATTAGACTCTAAATATACACACACACAATATACACATTAATATACTCCACTGTTGCCCTATTTCCAATTTACAGTTTAATTTATATTTGTTTTGACACTTTTCGCAGCATATCGCTGCTGTCGGAACCAAACCTCATCTCCATTTTTGTTGTTTTTCAGTTCTTTATATAATTTAATGTCTTGTCCTTTACGTTGTATGTAAATTTCACGATAAACAGACCAAAAGTGACCTAAAATGACTTAGAAAAGTCTGGTTCCATTGACTTACATTAAAAGTAAAGTATGTTTTTTCCTTCTACCATTTTGGAGATACAAGGTTTTGTTCCTACAGCAGAGATATGATTGTGAGATCCAGCTGCTTTGGCAAATGATTGCAGTCAGCTTAAATAATTGAGACCGTCTCAAATTATTGCAATTAGGTGAATGTCTGATAAAAAAAATATATATATTATAGGTCTTCGTGTTCTGTGCTTCTCGTTGGTTTCTCCAGCACTTGGACCTCAGGTGCTCAGGTGTAGGTGTAAATATTTACTACACACTGAAATCAACATTGAAACTAGTTTGTGTGGTGCAACCCGTTTTGTTGTAGTGATGTGTAAACCCGAACCTAAACGCTGGTGTGTTCAGTAGCCTATGTTTAAACTTGCGTGCAGCCAGTGCAGCCGACTCCCGGAGTCAGTCAGTGAGCCGCCGTACCCAGCCCTGCTGATACAAACACTCACAGATAAAGCAGTACAGCTTTCTGGAGAGCCGTTCGTTTTCCTACTCAGAGCGCTGTTTGTGATGTGCTTGCCACATTGTCATTGTTTGCTTTACATATAAATGTTTTTCCCCCCCCCTCCACCCCGCCCACCTCAGAATAGCATTCCCTTCGATCATCACGGCAAGTAGCTGCTCGCCACGTTCTGCTGTGAGAGGCCGGGGCAGCCCCGGGTGAGTGACGGTCGGGTGCCATCTTGTCTGGTGTGTCTGCACCTCCCTGCACTCAGTAAAGCCCTCCCTGCCCTCCTTTCTCTCTCTACTGCTGCCGTCCCACCCAGAACCCCCTCCAGTGCAGAATCAGGGATGCATTACGGATAGGGCCGTAAAAATGTGATGTGTCAGTTTGAAGGTGGTGATTCAACTGATTCAGCACAATTGAATAAAACCTTCAATTAAATTGGTACTTATTATTATTTTGGCAAAATACAATTTCTAAAATACTGTTTTTATAGGTAATATCTAAAGAAAGGGGTTTGTTTTTTGTCTTTCTTGCGTATTCAATTGGTACTGTAATTTGTAGGTGATGCGTACGGGATAAAGTATGTGTGATTACCCAAGATAGCCTGGATTGAAGCGTCAAAGGTGGAATGTTCACTTCAGCGAGATTTAGAATTAAACTGATTCAAACAACAAAATTGAACCTAATACTAGTGTTAGGCTAGTAAAGTGGGCTCATTGTGAGAGGAATCTTTCACCTTCTAATTTGCCCATCGCCAGAAAATGTTTTAAGTTACAGTAGTTCTCGGGTAAATTTGAGGACAAAGCTCCATTTTATTCACCCAAAAAAGTAATATATATATATATATATATATATATAATACACACACACACCGATCACTCACTGTCCACTCTATTAGACTCTCCTACCTTGTCAGTCCACCTTGTAGATGTAAAGTCAGAGACGATAGCTCATCTGCTGCTGCACAGTTTGTGTTGGTCATCCTCTAGTCCTTCATCAGTGGTCACATGACGCTGCCCACAGGACGCTGTTGGCTGGATATTTTTGGTTGGTGGACTATTCTCAGTCCAGCAGTGACACTGAGATGTTTAAAAACTCCAGCAGCACTGCTGTGTCTGATCCACTCAGACCAGCGCAACACACACACCACCACCACGTCAGTGTTACTGCAGTGCTGAGAATGATCCACCACCCAAATAGTACCTGCTCTGTGAGGGTCCATGGGGGTCCTGACCACTGAAGAACAGGGTAAAAGGGGGCTAACAAAGTATCAGAGAAACAGATGGACTACAGTCTGTAACTGTAGAACTACAAAGTGCACCTATATAGTAAGTGGAGCTGATAAAATGGACAATGAGTGTAGAAACAAGGAGGTGGTCAGAATGTTATGTCTGATTGGTGTGTATATATATATACATACCCATATAAATGACACTACCATGAGGTGAGGTCAAGCAGGGCTGCTGTTACCAAAGGAGCTTCAGGTTTTTATTTAGCTTACTTGTAAAACCTGCTGAAATTCTAGACTAATCCTGCTCCAATAGGGCTTTAGTGGTTCCTTCATTTTAAAAACTACTGCAGATTAAATTCTCTCCATTTTTATAGCATTTAAAGTTTATTTAAAGCAAGAAAAATCATTAAGTTTGAGATTTCCTGATACAATGAGCTGTTGAAGTCAGTGATTTACGCCTCTACTCATAGCAGAACCCACTTCTTGTAGATACGAGGGAAGGCATAGATCAAGTGTCGAATGAAGGCCCTCGAGTAACCCCTTTTCCACTGATAAGGTGCCAGAACCGGTGCTTTTTAAGAACCCCGTCTCGCGTTTCCGCCGGCTTTCGAGACGAAAGATTATGTAACTGGGAGTCGGTGGTGTTCGGCCAAGAATTCAGCACATCATGCTCACCGTTTTTAATTACGCACCGTCCAGCACTGCGTTAATCCAAGTACACCTCTGACTTTCCTTAACAACTTTCCAATTTGTCTTGAAACTGAGTCTGGTTTCTACCACAGTCGGTTCCGTTTTGCTGCTGTTTTCACTCGTTTTTTTTTTTTCCAAAGAGACATGGAAAATAAGTTGTTTTTCTTCTGCTGCTTCTCTTCCTCCCTTTCTATGGAAGATGGCAGCTCCACTCTTATAAACAACTTCATCTGACGACGACGTTACCTTTCCTCACGACGTCTTGCATCGCTGCTTCTTTGGTTCCAGATC